AACAGAAAGAACCCCGTCGGAGTAAGTACCGAAGATGCCGAGCTCATATGCTAGGACGTATGACGTTCCAATAAGGCTCCAGCACATTCGGTCTGATCGTACAGCTGGCTCGCTCCACGTAGAGCCCAAATATAGGGCTTTTTCATCAGCAGGAGTATCAGCATCATCTGCAGGAGCTAAGATGTCATCGTCATCGTCCCTGGGCGGAAAATGCATGGACCTAGGATGGAATTCGTTCAACAGAAGGAGGCTAAAGAATTAGTTAACCTGGTAAAGGAAGAACGAGACTGAGAACGAATACCTCTCAATAGTGCCAAGCGTTCGCAGTCCTCCCTTTCCAGAATTGGGCTGACCTGGTCTTCGGGTACCTGCGCCACAAAAGCCTCCTCCGAACTGCTCCTGTCCCCAGAACATGCGCGTGATCATATTTTGCAAGTACGACCATAGCCTCTCGTGGATCATGAATGATCGAGTCTTGCCCCCTGGGCCTGAGAGTTCCATGTATCGAGAAGCAATTGTAAGCACGGTGACTGTAAGCATTGGCTCATCGTTGACAAGGTTTGAATAGGCTGCATGTGAATCGAAAGCCGGCAGACTGATTGGGGTAAGAGGCGAATGGCATTTGTAGAAGCTGGGAATGTCAGCCTAGCCTATTTGAGCCAAATAAGGGACGTGCGTACTAATCGATGTACGATATTGCTTCTTTGGCGGTAAACCATCCAGCACGGACGAACCTCAGCCGCGACCACAGTCTGAGCGCTTCTATTGGGATAGGAGTGTCGTCAATATCTGCGTTGCTTCCTGAAATTGCTGGGTCTATATTCAAAGGATAATTCTGCCCTGCTTGGTCGTGTGACGAAGGCCCGGAATTGTATCTGCCATGCATGATGTTCGAAGTTCGCACGGACTGGTTTGTCGACCGTTCTCCTAGGCTTGCTGTATCTTTACGCTGCATATGCTCGCTTTCATCGGAAGCTTTGAGGAGCAGATGCAACGCATCGCCGGGTACGTTGATAGGGCTCTGAAATAGTGCGGCAGCAGTTTCATTGGAGACTTCCTGATCCTGGCCATCTGCGGCCTTACCCAGCTGTATTTTCGTAGCGTAAGGGCTGTCTTGCTGGAGAGGTCTCTGCCTGGGTAGATCGTATCCATCCAGAGGTGAGGTAGCAGGTAGAGGTCCCGAGGTCAACGACTGTTGGCCATTTGGTAATGGTTGTTGATCGAAAGAGCCAGAAGTCCTAACACTCTTTTTTCTGGCAAGGTGTGCCGCAAACTCCTCGTCTGGTGGCCCGTCTCCCGCAGATTGGCCATCCTCGCTGTCGGCCTTCCGTTTTCTCCTGGTGGCGGAGAAGTAGCATTCCTTGGCTTCGCGACGACATCTGACACACGGAGGGTCGTGAGGTTCATCAACAGGTCCTAGGTCGCAGCGAACTTTTCTCTTCCTGCAAGGAATCTGCGGAAGCCTACATTAGCAAGCGTGGGGGATGTGGACAAGGTCGGCTATACGCAGGCTTGATAGGTCCTCTTATGCAGTGGTGATGCAGAGATATCTCCAGCATGTGAGGCGTTTTGTGAGTTTCCGGAGATTGGATCTGCAAGCTGTTGCGGAGCTGCATTTGCCATTGTCGTGGCTTGAGAAGCAGAGAAGGCAAGAGACGGCTAGCTGCGGAGTAGGATATCGAGGATGCGCCGTTAGATAAACCCTTGGCAGCTCGAGCTACTGAAACAAAGCTTTACAGCGACGACACTCGTCAGATATGGATAGCTGATGGAAGGGTTTCGCCGAGGAATCTGATGCCTTGTGCCGATTGATGAAGTAAAGTAGTGAGATACTACTACAAAATTTTCTAGCTCTGCGGTAACTTGTCCCCCTCTCGGATCCAATCAAACCTCATTAAACAAGTAGTTCTTCTACTGCTTATATCTACATAGTCCAGAACCTCAAATCTGAGGACTAGACCCGTTGTATCTGCGAAGATTAGGATTTGCCAATCGTTGCTCTTTCCATTGCCACATGGGCCATTACCAAGACGCCAACCCATGCCCCAGCTATCCGAAATAACTCCGTCGCCATGCTCGAACATTTTCCAAAGGAACATCTACGACGTTTCTTCGGACTAGCCGCCATAGTTCGAATCGCGGAGGGGGTACGTGCTACTTGCATACTCCGAAGTGCCGTCGTGATAGATGGTTCCCCGTCGGTCATCTTCAGGAAGGAGCTCCTTGACTTCCCAATTGCCTTGCTTCGTGCCGACGCTGAATTCAAGATCTTCCTTGGTAATGGAGTCCCAGTACTAGAAGTTATGTAAGCGGTACTTCTACGCGAGGTTTTCTCTCCTCGTAGGCTTACCTTGTAGACCATCATGACTGCTAGGAGGTTGCATATTGTAGCGAAAAATAATCCGTCGAGGTAATGCGATACGGCGTCGCAGATAGTATCACTGAACACGTAGAGGATCACCTGGCCAATGACGAAGAAGAAAACCCCAAAGGAAATATCTCCGAGCGGCCAGCGATCTTGCAGGGTATTCGTAACGAGTATGATTTGCATGGCCAAGTAGATCAACAAGCATATTCCATTAATCAGGTACAGCACCACGAAGAGGCCCACAGTGTTGGTTGGACCCAACCCAGCTCTCCCTTTGAATGTCAAGATGGATACTGCGCCTGAGATAACGAACATGCCGATCGAAGAGCCTCGGAGTAACCACACGGATTGCCTTGTTCCGTCTTCATACAGCTGAAAACCGACGAAGCCATTGATCAGGAGGCAAGTGCACAGGGCGGAAGTGAAGCCATTCTGCACGGCCACGAAGTAAGGGAAAGTGCTCGATCCCGGAGGTATGACTCCAGCGTCCAGTATCAATGAGGTCATGGTCAAAGCCATGTAAATGTAAAAGAAGGTGGTGATCTCTTTCCGACCTATATTTAGAAACACCACTGGTCAGAAGGCATTCAGAAGGACGGGCAGGATCCAGGCCCGACTTCCTCACCGACAGCTGTAAATTTCGAGCGCACATGCAGCACCATGATAGCCGCCATACCTAACGCCAATATGTGTATGAAATCGGTTGCAGCCTCGAAGATGATGGTGTTGGCCAGTTCAATGTTTCGGGCGTAGCAGGTTGCTTGGATGCCTGTCGTGCTATTCGAAATAGGATTCGTAGGACCCACAACGGAGCACACTGGCAATGCACTCTTGCGACATATCGTCTCGAAATCTCCAAAGCCCATAGCTTCTTGGCCGCTTGGGGTGCGAAGGGCGGTGGTGACGAGATGTCGTTGCCTCGGATAGGTGTGGGGGTAGGGTAGGTTAGGTTGACGGCAAAGGCGGTGTGCTGCTACGTAATGTGTAGCAAGGCGCAGACAGGTAGCGAGAGCAAGTGAGTAGTGTATGGAGTGTATGAAGAATGAAGGCAATGCGCCGTTGTAACGTCAAAAGTCAAAGAAAAGTTTGTTTATTGTTCAGGAGTCTGAGGAGTCTTGAGAGTTGGGGCCAACTCGGCCGAGAATCGTATATGCGCTTACTAATCCTATGTTTTAGCGTCAATCAAAACAAGCCCCGGGCTGCAGGCGCCAAGCACTCTTCCCAAAACCAAGTATTCCCCATAATCGCATTCAATCGCATTCAATCGCATGAACGATACTTCCATATCCGACAAGCGACCCATCAGAACCCTTCCAAATTTATTCTGAGCACGAGGCAACGTCCCGGCCAGCTTCAAAACTGGTCGTTGGGCATCCATCTGATCACGGTACGAGAGACGAGGTCCACAAATGGAGCCTGCTCCTAGCGGTCTGTGCATGCAACGTTCAACCTGGGCGCGCGCGAGGCTCAAGCACCTCGCCTTCGTGCATGCACCATTCGGCATTGACAGGCCCATATCATTTCACTGACGCCTTTTGCATGCCGACCAGAGGCTCGGATAGATCTATCCTCCTTTTGGACATTCTCATACGAAGCTATGAGGTCACTTGGCCTCTCTAGCTGGCTAACAGAGGGGGGAGAGAGGTTCATCAAGCAAAAGCTAGGGTAGCAAGCTTGTTTCAGCTGATATGAGAATAGGTTGCTGAAAGTGAGAATTTCAACACGTTGCGGATATCAGACATGCTTTACTATGACTTGCCGCCTCGGAATCTTGACCAAGACTCCCCCCCCCCACACTGGGTCACCTCGCCAGGTCCCGAAACGTTCAACCCGGCTGTACCCCAGTTTCCTTCAGCTGTTTGACAGCTGCGATGATCCTACTACCACTTTTAGCCTTGTCCTTTGATGCGCTCCAACTCAATAAGTCAAAGATGCTCATGAGGATCTCAATCAAGCTGTCCGGCGTATTTTAGGTTACAAAGTTTAGGTTTGATCACGATTTCTTTTCGAATTGCAGGCCCAAGCTTCAAGGAGGTCCTTACTCGCTTTGACCGCCTATGAGCGTTAATGCTCCATAACTCTCGTTTCTGATACTTTGCGCGAGCTACTGGCCATTATACTCCACGCCAACGATAGATTATCCTTCGTTGCTCGGGTGGTACTCGGATGATGCTGGAGCGCAAAGACATGCATGCTTGTTTTTTCCCCTTGCGACATAAACGGCGAAAAATTTCATGGCGCCGCGATCTGTTCAAAGCTCATACTTAATCATGTCACCTTCTACCAAATCTATATTCAAAAGCATCGTCTCCCGGGAAAGTCAGAAAGATGTCGCCATTCTTCCCAACACGGCCTGTATCCTGATCACCAGAAGTGAACCGTGACTCCAACATACAATTCTCTTAGAAGCTTAGTGCGCCAACAGATACAGTGGTCAATCTGCCCATTTGGTCTTCAACAGAAATCGAACTTTTAGCTCCCCAAAGTGCAGGAGGACTACGGTGCGTTTGTCCGCCCAGTTCTCACAGTAGGAGCACTGCAGCGCTATAGATTAATATTCTCTGTGCTAATACCATTCCAGATCAGGTTTTGATTCAGATCCCTGCTCCCCCGTCCGCAAGCCCTCGTCAACATGTGCGAATACACACGCAACTACTACGTCTACTCGAACTGTACGGACCCAGCCATGCACTTCACTAGAACCTCGACGGAAGGGAATGCAAAGAAGAAATGCGCCAAAGCACCTCACGAGCGTTTCATTGTGGTCTCGGGTACCTGCAATATATGTCGGTAGCACGTACACTCGTCACGCCATCCACGAATCAAGGGGTAGAGAGCCTTTTGGGAGCGCTTGCTCGTCTACTCAGCCCTCCAGGGTCGCAATCACCACCATTCAGGAAAGAGGGTGCCGGCGACGTCGAGGCCTGAATGCTGGGCAATTTCATCATTTCCCACGCCCACACGAGGCATGGAGGCCGCGAAGCTTAGACTTTGGACATGGCGGAGGAACGCCCGTGCTCGCCTTGCTTGCCACCAACTCTAACGAGGCGGACGATCAATATTGGAGAATGGAGAGCGCGGGTGGTTGGATTTCTTCGGCAATTGTCTGTCGGCCTCGTGGGCTTGCAAGGTTTACCCCGGTGCTTGATTATGTTCGCTTCTTTTTCACAATGTCACACATTCCGATGATCACTCTTTATTAGTATTACGCGCTGTATGGTTTGTCGGTCGGCAAAAGTGATTTCAGGCATATACCCTCGGAATCTTTACGTCGTTTAGAGCTTGATACCCACCTACCTATTCTCTTGACCGAGCGTCTTTTCAAGAATTTTGACGCCGAGGGCCCTTTTTACAGCGTCATGTCGCGTGGTCCATTTAGGCTAATCGTGCATTTTATTATGTGCATCGTCCCGCGTCTAGCACGTGCGTTTTTTGCTCCCTCCCACTTTTTGGATCGTCCTTGGATCCCGCCTCGCTGGGACGCGTTCTACCGTCAGACAGGAGAGAGAGTCCCTGCATATGCCCCAAGTCTCTTAACTCCGAAACTTTAGCTCCGACTTCCAGGTCTCTAGGACATGACAAAATGATGAGTAGGTACTTGAACCTTGTCACCTAATAAAGTACCTTGGCTTTTTGAGTCCCATCTCTCCTTTCACAATCGTAAAGTCATCTTTCTCTATAAGCATCATGTGTTCGATGTAAGATTTATAGCGTCAGAGCCCCGTTGCACTTGAGTTCCAGTATACATAAGGTACCACTGCCACCCAAATCTCGGAGATTATGTTGTAAAGCAAAAAATAGCGTTAGGTCTAGCCTATCCTAAAGCTTTCCCAATCTTCGTCTCACCGCTCTCCGATGAAGGACACGAGAGATGCGAACCATGTCTCTGGGTCTGCTGCCTTTTACATTGCTGGTTACCTTTTTCGTCGCTAACCTATGAACCGGCGGTCACATGCATCCGGTACCATGACCCACGCATCCTTCAAACTGACCCGACCCTTCTCATCCTCTTCCCTGACCTTTTCTGCCAAATTAATTCAAGACGGTATAACTTTCATTCTTCCATTCGCTAAAAGTGACGACCCGACCTTCCAGCCCCACCCATTCCTTCCACACCGCTTCTTCCGTATCATCCTTGCTTCGCGCTTTCCCATTGCCCAAATAGTCCGTCCGGCAGGACCCTTTCCACTCCTCTTCCTCCTGCTCACGCCAAGCGCTTCCTTCCCGTACCATGGTTCTGCTTCCGACTAGCATGGCATCCAGGAGCGTCGATTATACCTCATTGGTTGGCGCTCGATCCATGAAGCCACGAGCTCCAAGTCCGAGCAGTGTACTTTTCAACACATGAGCTTTGACAAGGCGGCCGTGCCTGCACTTGACGCTACCGCCCCCCCCCCCCAACTCATATTCCCCAAGTCTGAAAAAAGTGGCCATCAGGCCCCAGCATCAAACACCCTCCCTCGCCTCTTCCGCACGAGCCAGCCGGCGCAATTCGCGAAACGATGCCAAAGCTGCTCGGGTGGCCGGCCGGAACGACGAATGCCCATCGCTTTAGCAATCCATCGAATACCCATCTAAAGTCTCAGCCAGCGCAAAACCACCCTCACCGTAGACCTTCTCCGGATCGCCCGTAAGGGCGGAATGACCTACAGCTTCATCGCCCATCCCCTTCCTCCCCATCTATCCATCCACTAAGCGGGCACAGTCTCGCTTCCTCGCCTCCGTTAAATCATTCCCTATCACCAAGAAAGTAGAGAGAGAGAGCGCTGCGTATACTACTCCGAAGTGTTCGGCAGCGCCACGGTTCGTGGAAAGGGTGACGGCCAAGTGCCGCGGGCGTGGTGGGACGGAGGTACGGGCAAGGGAAATCCACGATGGAAAATCCAAGGTGAAGAAAGTGCCAAGGGGAGAAGGGTACGGGTTACCGGGTGGGTACATGTTCTCGGTGGCGGGGTAAGCAGCCGTTTTCGAGTAAACTAAACCAATACACTTAACAGTGCGTGAGACAGACACAAGTTGGATTTCGAAAACGAAACCTCGGGTCTGCAACATGTTATGTGGATCCCTGAGTGGCTGCATTGCGAAAGCTCTGGAAGTGATGCAGGGAGAGTCCAGAGACGTACCGGGTGCGGGGGAAGCCAGGTGCTCGTGAGGATTTTGACAAAGGTGATAGCGTGCTTGGGGAGGTCGAGGCGCACTGAGATGAGTAGTATTCTGTGACCAATAGGCGATGAACAGAGGCGAAGTCTTTCCTTGTCCTCAAGCCCATGCTTAAAGAAGAAAGGGTGAAGTGTTCTGGGTTGGTGGAGACGGCGACGTGAACCGTCCAGAACTGCGACTCTCGGTGTCATGGCTAGCCAGGAAGTGCAACATCTGGCAAGATGCCAGGAACGTTTCAATGTATTGTTCAAGTACAATCTATACTAGCTATCTGAAGTTGAAGCTATCTCTGTAAGCAGTACGCGATGGCGGACGATAGCAAGTGCAAGGTGCAACGAGAGGCACAAACCACAGACACTGGAATTACTGTCGGCAAAAGCAGGATCGCTACTCCATCTCATCACCTCTACAAGGATATTTGGTCAGGAGAACACTGCCTTCGGCCAATGGAGACCATGACTCAAATCCATCCCATTGAACATCCATCGCTGCAGTCAAAGTTAGCATCCCGGTCTTGACTTTGCGAAAACTGAACTTACTAGTGGGGAAAGGCCACCAATCGCTCCAGTCCTTCGTCATAAACACCTTAAACGGTCCGTTGACAGTCTTACTCTTCAGCTCCCCTCCGGGTGCGCGGCGCAGATTCTTCAGCTGGGCGAAGACGCGAAGCTGGGCTGCCATGGCTGTCTCAACGATCGGCCGACCGATACAGCCATGTGGGCCCCATCCATGGTGGATGTACTTGTCCAACGGCCGGGTGAGGTCGATTACCTGCGGATTAGGAAACACCGTCGGGTCGAGGCTGGCTGTCGCGAGGTTGACGAAGATTCGGTCGCCCTTCTTTACCCGGACAGAGCGGTTGCCATCTTCAATCGTGGTGTCAACGTCTGCAATACGTGTGAGACCGAAGGCCGGTGTATTCAGACGGTAGCCTTCAAGAGCGTATCGTTTGAGCTGTTGGAATGCCTCGGAGCTGTCGGATGCCGCGAGCTTTTGGATGGCTGGCCAGTGACTTTTGTAGGGGTCAGAGAGATAGAGGTCCAGCATCTGGGCAAAACCCTGAGCTTGAGTGGCGACAGCTGCGGCAGCCGTAGGGATAATAGTCCAGGTGACCTCGTCTACACTCTTCCCACCGGCTTCAAGTCTGTCGAGGAGACGGACACCATAATGGATCAGGAAACTCGCTGCGGGGCCTTTTCCGATGTTGTACTCCAAGGAATCAAGACCCTCCACAGTCTCATCGAGGGAAACCTTTCTTGGTAACGCTTTTTCACAGACCGATCGAACGACACGGCCTAGTTCTTTCGCGGCATCTACAGCCGCAACTTTGAGCGTAAATGAACTCGGAGGATCGAGGTCCACGAATATATAAGCAAAAACGAAGGCCAAGTGTTTGTAAAAATCCTGGTCGATGTAGGTGCCTTTTCCGTAGCTCGAGTCAAGCATGGGTATCTTGAACATGTAAGCAATAAAATTTGCGTGCGAAGCGTTCCCGACGAGTCGAACGGCATCAAGCTGGTAGATCTTCCCAAGCTTAGCGCTATTCTGGCGTACCAGTTGCATGGTCAGAGTCTCGTAGAACTGCCGGATCTCTTCCAAACCGTCAGGAGGTTTGTAAAAGGCATTGTGCACAAACCATTTTTGTCTTGCACTGGCTCCAGAGTCATCACTCAGCATATAGTCGTGACCGGTCAAACATCGGATGCGAGGACCCCATGGGACTTTGAACTTTGCCTGATCATCGAGCACGCTCGTGACTCCGGTCCATGACGCAATGGGGATAGGAGGGTCGACGGAAGATGGCGGACTGAAGTCATAATCGTCATCTTTTCCTAAGGTCTGAAGTATTTTGCGAGTCTCGCTTGGAATGGTGAAAGGGAACATCGCATAGACTGAGTTGTCGACGTAAAAGCCAGGATATGCCCTCATTAGCAGCTTGTAGATCACGCCTCCGCCAGCAACTTGAGGGTCAGCAGAGGCTTGTTTGTAGCCCCAGTGGGTCAGAGACCCGGGAGTATAATCCTGCATAAGGTCAGTTGGTGGGCGTTCGATGCTTGCTGACCAACATATGTGAGGGAACTATACCATAGTGTAGTATCGATCACCCCGAATCAAAGCCACGGTATTCAAGAGAATTGCCTTCGACACAGTGGAGCCAGGGCACAATCCTTGACCTATTGTATCTGGAAGTGTCGCTTGTTCGGCGACAATTCCGGGGTAGAGTTCCACTAATTCGACTTTGTCATAAAGTTTCTCCAATGTTGCCGCAACATCTGGATCTGAGTTGATCTCGATCCAAGTCTCATGCGGTTTAAGTTGGAAGAACTCTCGAAGCTCATTGAGCGTGGCCACTTTCCAACTTCTCGCTTGCTCCATGCCGAGTATCTCGACAGCCTTCATGATTGCTGGGACATTGCAGGCACCGAAAGCCCCTAAAAAACACCTCCAGTTAACGGTGAGAACCCCTTCATTTGATATGCGAAAGTACCTGCAACGTCTTCTGTGCTCTCTTGAAGAAGTTTCACGAGCTCAGCATCTTCGAAGCTCCCGTTTGCTTGCCTCTCCAAATTCCCAAAAGCCCTCTTCCCTGGATCTGGATTCACGCCGTGTTCCCATCTTCGGAGGCCTTCAATAAAGGCTGGCAGTGACAATGTTGCCGGATCGTCATTAGGAAAGACATCTTTGTAGAGATCATGGGCCCATACTTCGTCCTTGGCACTCATGGCGGTGTGCCATCTGTAAAACATATTGAACTCGACGCTGACTTGGTTTCCAGTGGCGGATGGGACTGTTGTCTTCCCAAAGTCAGCCAGTGGGTCAAGGTTCCAGGTCGATTTGCAACGATTCAAATTCAGGATCGTCTTGAAATAGTCGCCGATGATGATATGTACGTAGAGTCCGCAAGTTATGCTGGGGCCTCAGTCAGTAACGGTGCAGTTTGGGTAGGATGATGAAAGACGGAGGAGTCCACCGTCATGGTGACCTTCACGTAACTTCAGGAATGACTTGGCACTCCCCCCTGGTTTGTATACGACACAAGGGGAAAGGATACTCACAGTCTCCCGACTTGGAACAGATCATTTTCACGCTTCTTCATCGCAGCCTTGTAGAGTTCATCTTGAGCAGACTCGACGGGAAGACTGAATCTGCCGCCCTCGTTGATGTCTGCTAGTTCCTCGACCACATAGTTGTGGAAGCGGTTGAACGAGACCAAAAGAGCACAGACCCCCGGTGGAAATCCGAGGACTCTGACCTCCGAGAATGCGTCAGGCTTCAGCTTTCCATCCACGAAGGTCCGGACAGCAGCTTGTTGCTCTTCGTTGTGGCCATACAGAGGCCCAAGGTCCAGGTAAGAAGAGCTGTCAACCTTGTTGTAGTCATGCTCATTCGTACGAAAGACATCTGATGTATGGTAAGCATCCATCAGCTGAACGGTAGGAAGCATTTGATCCCTGAAATAGGGGTGGGTCTTACCATGAATAATGATTGTAGTGAGGTAGAATAGCATACTGGAGATCTTGCTAGGATGCTCTTTCGGAGGCCCATCTCGAGCAAACAGAGCTGTTTGGAATTAGCCCAGCACTCAAGCCTGCCTTTGGTAAGGGGAGCAGCTATACCGTCAAAGATCAAAGACGGGTCAGGAAGAACAGCAGGAAGCACCGTCATGGGTGTGACACTGCGTGCATAGGCGGACCCAGCTTTCCCAAGATTGGGGTAGATGACACTCTACACCTTGTCAGAATCTCTTTTCTGGTGGAGAGGGACTGGGATACTTGCATTGTTTGACCCATCAGCGGCACGGTACTTGTACTGGTCTCCCAAACGTGTGAGTGGTGGATGGTCGAGGGTTTCCCATAGATTCTTGACCAATGCCCCAGCGATAACGTTACCACCTTTCGATTCTTCAGGTATGGATGCAGCCAGTTGAACAATACGCTCAACCTATTGTTCACTTAGTAACCTTGTAAAGATTTATGCTAGACAGAATCGTTGTCAACATACTAGGGGGTTCTTGTGATCGATTGAGCCGCTATGCAAATATGCCTGGATGGCAGAGATGACCACACCGACGTCTTCTGGTAATTTCATGTCTTGGGCGTGTAGCTCAATGAGTACACCTCGTAGGAGGCCGTGATCGATGGGTGCATCGATTTCGCTGGTAGAGGTGTGGTGATTTTCTCCGAGCGTCTGTCGAATTATCTCAGTGAGCTTTTCCATAATGGTCCGAAGGTCATTTGGGACTGTGGGAATTGAAGCAACGCTTGGACGATGACTCCCATCCTGGTCAGGCGAAGAAAGAAGGTCAATTTCCATGCCATCGTGTGCAGCATCGTCGATTGCCATGTCGTGGGTAACCCCGTTGGGGGCTGATGCAAGGAATGATGGCATGGTGGGAGGATGTGAATGAGATGAATGAAGAGAGGAAGAAAAGGAAGTACGAGATCCGCAAGCAGTGGTCGGAGAAGAAGGTTTTGCGTGGATGAAGGGGAGAGATAATACAGGATGGTATAAACAAGGCGAGACTCAGCAGGGACGCTTGGAGACGGAAGGTAGGAGGCGAGATTTGATGATGTAAACCTCGCTTGTGGAGGTATTTAGGAAGGTACAAGGAAGAGGTAACCCTCAACCCCCAGTATGAGAGACAAAGCAGAGCCATTCACCCAAGGAGACTCGGAGATGTCTTTCTTTGCTTTCAGCATAGCATTACGAGGAGACACAGAAGCCAGCCCGGATCACTTCGAAGCGTAACCGCCTCTCCCTCATTCACTGAGAGCAGTTCGTACTCCAACCTCTATCAGAAGATGAAACAGTGTTGGTGCCTTCCTTTGCTAAATGCTTGCTTTCCTTTCCTGCTCAGTGCTCACTTGCAGATCTTTGCATGACCTCCCATCGAAGAGATTCTGACAGGATCAGGGTTGGCTCGTAAACAATGCCAGGCTGATCGTCTTGGACAACGCATCTTGGACAATCTGAAGGCATCTGAAGGCGACTGCTTTCTTTCGTTGACCTCGCATTGCAGTTGTATGAGGCAGCGAAATGTCCGGCGGATGCCAAGAGATGGCGCTAAGGAACGTTAATCTTAGTAGCGGACTCTTGCCCTCACCCGTGAAACATTTTTGTTTGCCATTCGACTCCAGACATTGCCATACTGGCAGATCTGTCTTCCAATGCCATCTCTGCTTCACTAACATCCCCCAGCTACTGCGTGGTGGTTAGGATAGACGGTATACTCAAAAAGAAACCTTTTGAAATTGGGGCCGCAGGGTTCATTGAAAATGACCGGCGCGTCATAGTCTCAGTATTCAGACTCGCTTAGGGGGGTACCCTATGGCCAGCCCTACACTCGTTCCTCGCTTCGGGGGCCAATCATATCGCAAGCTCATTACGGTATACCCCCCCTCTAGAGTCTGAGTAGGAAACCCTGGAATCGCTATATTAGCCGTTATTTTATATGAGATCCTTATCAAAATTAATCGGAATAGAAAATAAGTAGTTTCTTTTATATATAACTTTTTACTATATTAGTATATATAAAAGAATAAGATAGAGCTAAACTAGAAAACCTTGAATTTATATATATAGCTAATTATAAATTTAGAGTTACTACGCTCTTTAATTAGATCGACTAAATTAGCCCGCTAGCCCTCTTAAGCTCTCTTATTAAAAATTTATATATAGAAGTTTTACACTCTAAAATAATTAGCTTTTTATAAATACTATTACTTTATAATTTCGTAAATTATAGAGTTTAGTTTACGCTTTCTAACGATATAAAAATAATAAAGTTTAGTTTATTATTAATAAATTAAATAGATATTTAAATATAATAGTTATAGTAGTTATATTAGACGCGTCTAGAATCGAATAATAATCCTTTTATCTATTTATATAATTATTCTTCTTTTATTATTTTATTAATTTACTAATATAAATATAATCATCCTCGATATTTCTTATAAAAATATTATTAAACGCTTTAGATATGTATTTCTTTCGTTTATCTTTTAAATCTCTTATTAATATCCTTAGGTTACTTCTTAACGAATCTACTATTATTAATAATTAAGGTTATAAGCGAGTTTAATAGCTATCTATTACTACTTATAAACGTATTAGAAAATCTTTAAAAAGAGCTTAAATGAATATATTCTTCTCTATAGATTTCTTCTAAGCTAGCGATAATATCTTTTAACTTAATAATACTATCTTTTAAAACGCGTCTTTCTCCTCTATTCGTTCTTTATTACTCTATTTTAATTATATTTCTTCTATAATTCTATTAATCTATTAATTATAAATATATTTATTCTCGATATTTCTCGTCTAAATATTACTAAATATCTAAGATATATATCTCTTTCGCTTATCTTTTAAATCCCTTATTAACGCTTTTAGACTATTCTTTAACAAATTCGCTATTATTAGTAATCGAGATTATAAGCGAGTTTAATAGCTATTTACTACTATTTATAAACGCGTTAAAAGACTCTTAAAAGAGAAGAAGTAAGAGAAGGAACTATAATAAGTAAATGCGGAGAATACTACGGAGAATACTGCGAAGAATACTACGGAGAATACTACGGAGAAATTAAGCGGTAATAAGATTATTATTATTAAGAATACGACTTAGCTCTTCAAGATCTCACATTATATACTCTCTATAGTTCTATATTAAATTATTACTTAATAAGCGGAGAATATTACTATAACTTAGTTTATTATCTCTATTATATTAATATAATATATTACTATAATAACGTTATAAGAGAAGAATCTACTACGATAATTATAGCTAATTAAGTCTCTATAGAAGAAATATTAAACGATATATATTTAAATAAATTAAAATTATCCGATATCTTACTCTGATAGCTATTTTATTATTCGAAAGATTTTACTGCGGTAGAAGATAATATAGAATTTACACCACTAATTAGTATATTATCTCTATTTCTTTTTAATATTTTAATACTTCTTACTATAAGAATATAGCCTTTCTCTATTTTTTATAGATAATTATTATAGATTAATTTTTTACACTTAATATACCTTTCTAATTAGATCTTAGCGCGCCTCTCTTTATATATATATATCTATATATTATATAGATTAAATTAATTTTATAGTAGTAAAAGTAGGTTAAAAACGTATAATAAGCGATTAGAGTTTGATTTAACTTAGGGCTAGGGCTAAAATTCGATTTAACTTAGAAAAATCCAACTCCATAAATTTAATTCATAGGCCTTTACTTATACTCTAATAAAAAAATAATTTTCTATTAAATAACTATTTAAATATCGTAGAATTAGATTTTTTTTTTCGATTTTTAATAAAATATCTAAATTAATTATTTTTAGAAGATTTAAATTAGAGTTTTAAAAACTATATTTTTAACCCCCCTCTTATTCTTTAATATATACCGAGAAAATTCTAAAAATAATCTTAAAATATTCGTTATATTTATAAGTTTATTTTAGAATATTATTATAGAATATACCCGGCCAGATTTTTTAAAATAATACTTATTAAATTTTTATTTAAAATTTATTTTTCTAAGCTATTATCTTAAGTAATTTATTAAATAATTTATAATTTTAAATTATTATTTAATAATTTATAGATATAAGTAAAGATATATAAAGTTTTATTAATAAATTTTTTTATTTTATTTAATTATTTAATTATTTTAAGACAAGTAAAGGCCTATGAATTAAATTCATAAAGTTGAATTTTTCTAAGTCAAATGAAGTTAGATTTTTTCAAGTTAAATGGAATTTTAGTTCTAGCCCTAAGTTAAATCAAACTCTAATCGCTTACTATACGTTTTTAATCTACTTTCACTACTACGAAATTAATAAAGGAAGTAAAAGCCTTAACTCTAAGTTAAATCGAACTCTACTTGCTTTCTATACGATAAATAGCTTACTTCTATTACTATAGATCGCTAATTAATTATATCTTTATCTAAGAAAGAAGTATCTACTTAATAATCTTATTCTTAATATATCTCGTCGATTAAATAGATTATCTTTTTAATAGATCGTTTAAGACTATAATTAATAAACTAGTTTTACTAATAACTTAGTTTAAGATTATATATAATTAACTATAAATAAAGACCTTAGAATATAGATATAAGTCGATATACTATAATAACTAGCTTTAGAACTTATTAATCGTTATACTAAAGACTAATTAAATTAGAAATTAAATATATTAAAAGAGAGTATATAGATCGTTTAAATTAGGCGGAGTTAGAGGGATATATAATATATAGTATTATTTACTATTATATTCGCCTTTAAGAATATAATAATCGAGTATTTTAGATCTAATATATTTAATTTATAGATATATTTTATTATATAAATTTATACGCTACTCTAAATTTCTTAATAGTATTACTATATAATTTTATTTTAACTTTAAATAATAAAGTAAAAGCGAGGTTAATTCGAAAATATTTATTATTTTAGTAGATAGAAGAAAGCTATCTTTCTTATTAAT